TTCTCTCTCTTTTTGTCCTGATCCATTTATATAAAAACCTGTCTGGAAATGAGCTGGTCAGATTTTGGCCACTTTATGATGTCATAACGATTTGTTGGCTTGAGTGACCATTAGCCAATCACCAACCAAAGTAACAGACAGAGAATCAGCACTTTTGAAACAGGGCCGAAACAGAGGGGATTATGGGATGCTGCAATTATCTGTTTGGTGTTTCAGCCAATCAGAGAGATGTTCTGTATATATCTGAGACCTATAATATATTGATGAAAAACAGTAGGGACCTTTAAATAATATTGCATATTACTAATAATTTCACAAATACGCACACAGGAAAAATGAAAGTTTGCTCCGTGGGATCGAAATGATGCGTCAGGCAAGCAGTCCGCACGTTATTCAGGTCCGAGGGGTCTTTAAAGGATTACCCCCCAACTCAAGGTCAACTCAGCTGGGTCTGGTGATGGAGTACATGGAGAGAGGATCCCTGGCCTCCCTGCAGGTAAACACTGGTGGAAGAAGTACTACCTTTTAGTTTAGTTGAGTGTATTTGTTTATAGTGTCGTGGACAGTCCCCATTGATCAACTGTCACACAAAACAGTAAATGGGGCAGCTTTAGCCAACATTGCTAATTCCCAGCTGTTGTCTCCAGCCAGAGGATAATGGACACCTTTTTAAAATCACAATACATCAACAGCATTAGTTACTTACAGCATATACCATTTGTATTATTCTGTTGTTGTGCCTTTTTGTGTATATATGTGTTTGTATTCTTTGGAACGGTGAGAAACGGCATTTCCGTCTCCCTGTTTGTACCACACACACACACACACACGCACACACACACACACACACGCACACACACACACACACGCACACACACACACACACACACACACACACACGGGGAAATTGATAATAAACGTTGACTTTTTTTACTTAAAGTGGCACTGTAAAACTCCTCTGTTACAAGTGGAAGCTTTGCACTAAAATAAAGACAAATATGGTAACAACAATTAACTGGAAGCCCATTGGGGACAAAAAAAACTGACAATGCAAACTTGAAAATGAAAAAGTTCACTTCACGTTGGCATTATACTTTTCCGCATATGTACATGTTTTTGAAAAGATTTGGGAAATGCAGCAACATAAAAAACAAGGCAATGAGAATGAGAAATTAAGACACTAGAAATAAACAGTCCAAAATATTTCTGAAATAGAAATAGAATAGCATAGTGGAAAATATACATGTAGAAATACAAAAGGATATTATTGTTTTAACGAGTGATACATGTAACAATGGAAACTCTGTTACAGGGAAGTTTAGGCGGCACTCTTCCCTGGCAACTGGTCTTCAGACTGGCTCATCAAATCGCTCTGGGTATAAACTTCCTGCACAGCCTGACCCCCCCCTTGCTGCACCTGGACCTGAAGCCCAGCAACGTGCTGCTGGACTGCGCTCTCAACGCCAAGGTGAGTCCTCATTTGTAGCTTTTTTTGGGTATATATAGCACCCGTGTCCACATGATCTGCAGCAACGCATCATTTTCTGTAAGATCCTCACACGTTTATATCTCTACACTGTAGCTATGTACACTTTTGCTCTTCCACCTACCTTCTCTCTTTGCACACATTTTCTCTCCAGCTCACAGACTTTGGCCTCGCCCGGGATCAAAAAACCACGAGGGTTTCCAAGAAGTCCAGTGTGGAGGAAGGCGGGACGACCAGCTACATGCCGCCGGAGGCCTTTGACTTATCATACAGCCCGACCAAAGCCTCTGATATTTACAGGTACGGGAGCCAATCAAACTCCTTGGTACTCGTATCCAAACGCTTAACCAGAGATGGCAAAAGTACACACATCCTTTACTCAAGTAGAAGTACAGATACTCGTGTTTGAAAATACTCTGGTAAAAGTAGAAGTACTGACTAAACTTCTTTGCTCAAGTCAAAGTAAGGAAGTATGGGCTTCGAGTAAAAAGTACCCATAGCAGCTGTTTTAAAGAGTACCTGACCTCCCTTTGTATTAATAGAACAATAATGTCATTGTTAGCTAATGAATGTTTCCAACGGCAACATGACAACGTTTTCATTGGTCCCTCTTCTTTAGAGAAGACCAGGAAATGATGGATACACGGATCGTGTTCAAATCAATAGGCACGCAATGACTCTAAATAATAATGATCACGCCACCAAACACACATTCAGACTAAAGGAACCAGCCTGTTTGGAAAATGTGAGAAGTAGAAAGTACAGGTATTTGTGTTCAACATGTAAGAAGTAGAAAGTACAGGTATTTGTGTTCAACATGTAAGAAGTAGAAAGTACAGGTATTTGTGTTCAACATGTAAGAAGTAGAAAGTACAAGTATTTGGGTTCAAAATGTAAGAAGTAGAAAG